TAGGAGCAGAAGAAAGAAAATAGCTCATAGTTAGGGTGGGTTAGTCGGGTTGGGTTGACTTTTGGGGTGTGTATGGCCGGTTCGGTCTCACTATAGCCTATAGCCTAGCCGGGCTGGTGAGTCATGTGCTTTTGAAGGGATCTATGCTACTACTAGTACTTCTTGCGTAAGTCGAGGTATAATGTATATTGTAGGTATTGGTGGTTTTGTTGTGAGAGCTGGTGGCGGTCGCTTGTAGTAGTAGTATACAGAGGGTTTTGTGATACGACTTTATCAACCCCCAATTCTCCTCGCTGGATACCGCCGCTCAGGCAGCCGGGTTATCTGACTGTGGGCTTGGTGCCTCTTGGGGGTTGCGAATGGGTCCGAGGAGTTAAGTACGAGGTGGTTTTCGAGAATTGGGGTAGTTTTTGAGGGCTCATTGTTAGGGAAGAGTTCTAGACTCAGGAGTTGAGTGGAAAACGGGACGGTAGCGTTGTGGAATGGGGGCATCTTTGAGGACGGCAGAGCGAGGGCGGAACGATTGTTACACGAAATCGGGGATTAACAGTGGGAGAAATGATCTGAAGAATTTTCTTGAATCAAGGCGAAAAACCTAGAATTGCTTTTTTTCTTTTCTTTTTTGGCAAGGCGTTGACGTTGAAGTAAGGGCGGGATGGAATAACTAGTACAGTAGTAATAGTGGTGGTGGTTGGAAGTAGAACTGAACAATAAGAGGATGTCATGGTGATATGTAAACCTGAGGATTCCAATTAGGGCTGTGAAGTTCAGTTGTTCCGTACTATATATAGAATTGGAAGAAGAGGTGAAGTTGGGCCGGAAAAACGGTTGAATTTGACTTCATGTTTGCTTTTTTGTGTTACTATTCTTTGCACAAAACTCTCGTATGAACATACTTTGCACTGACAGCATGTCTGCCGCGTCCGAGCGAATAACACCCTTCAACGCAAGGTGTGCTGCCTGGAGAGGAGGCATAGGCATGTACACCGACTCTTGTCGGCATCGCATCGATCGCGTATCAATCAGATAGTAGTAGTAGTACCCAGAAATCACTCAGCTACATTCTTAGTCAACTACCACCACCACTACCACCACCACTACCACTAACATGACTCTCTCTCACACACACCCCTGGAATTCATGCAGCAACTGACTTGTATAGTGCGGGGCACTTATGAGGGAAATATATGAAATGAAACTAGACCTGAGATTAATTAATTGATTTAATTGATTGAGGTTGACGATCCGGGGGGTCCCCAAGCGAAAAACACCACCACCACACCCTAAGATGGAAAAATCCCAGCAATCGGAAATCCCAGCATAGCCCAAAATCAAATCAACCAAGATGGTGCAGGCCGCTCACCCAAAACAAGGAATCCCAGACGCCATCGACGTGTCCTTCCATGCAGCACGGATGCACTTTGACAATCAAGCATTGGACCAAGAAATTCTCCGCACGCGGGGCACCGCCACTGCCATCCATTCCCAGCATCATCTTCATTAAGGCTGTGCGTCGGTGAACTAAGCGATCAAGCAAAAAAACTTTGATTCTATGGAATCTTCCTCCATACGAGACCCAAGTATCGGTTCTGCCTATCCATCATGATTAAAAAAAGAACCGTATACCCACTTCTTCGGCAGTTGACTGCTGTCACCAAAGTCAATATCTACCCGGGGATTTAAGAAAAAGAAATCAGAATAAAACACAAAACAAAAACAAAACAAAACCCAGCACTCGCAGAAATCTGCAACTGCAAGATGCAAAAAGGCAGCCAACCACAAACTAAACCCCCATCGAGTGTCCCATCCCTAGCAAGGTACCTTCCCCTACGGCGGAGCCACTCTCAACGCTAGTCTGGCCTTCATTTCCAGCCCGTCCGGCCCGTTCATCAATATTGGACTGAAACGAACAACTGCACCACCACCATCACCGGATATACCCTCGTCCAGGTTGCTGCTGCCTTCGCTCTTCTTCTTCGATTGCTTTTTGCGCTGTTCCAATTAACCCAGCCCCGCATGCAATCGCCGTTTCCCGTGCCACCTTTTTGGGCGGTGCGTGCCAGCTGGCTTCTCCTTTGGCTTCTCACCAACCCTATGGGGCTATCCTCATGACCCGTGTAGCAGCCCCATTTCTCTTTGCTGACTCGTCTTCTCCAACTCCAGTGAGCCTGATACTGGATTGACTTTATCCAGATCCGCTCGGTGCATGAGGGGAAAAAGCTAAAGCTTGCCGTCATGGCTCGGCTATGCGTGAGGGGGCGTGGACAAAACACTACATCTGACTATCCACAATCCGCGGAGTGGAGCGTGGGCTGGTTCCCTCGGCGTGCTTGCTTGCTTGCTTTGACTGCTGTCTGATGTCTGCTGTCCGTCTGTCTGCGCGCGGATGGGCATCGATCGATCAGGGCGAAAAGCCCGCTTCCGTGGCCGGCCGTGTAGCCCGTGGCCTCTTTGGGTCTGTTGGCCGAGACCAAAAAAGTTATAAAGACCAGGTCCGGAGCCGGATTCTTGTTTCACAATCAGACCTCAATTCATCAAGCAAGGATACCTTCCAAAGCAAGCAACTCAGCCAGCCAACAAGCAAGACAAAGCGAAGCCGCAATCATCATTCAGCAAAGGCACCTTCCTATTCATTTTGAGTTCATTCCAATATGAAACCATCTACTCTTTACTCTTCTCTACCTTGGGTCATCACGTCCCTCCTCACGGTAGCTGTTCATGGCGCTCCTACAGGGACGAAGTCGAACCCTCCCCTACGAGGCTCCGAGAACTTGCTGGGTTACTCGGCCTCCAACACCGTGACGGACCAGTCCACCGACGAGATCCCTTATGCGCCGGTGCCAGGACAGACCGATGCCGCTGACCTCGGCGTGTACCTGGACTTTGAAGATATCGAGAACCCGCAACCGGTCCGCGGAAGCACGGGAGGAACTGACCCTGGACCTCGTATGTAGTGTCGATCCATGGAACCAGACCAAGGCGTTTGGTTGATCTGCAAATGATCTCATCTCACCGGACAAATAGGCAACGACTACTACGATCGGATTAATAGCGATAAGCTGGCTCCTCCGGGTACGGACAATGGCCAGACGATCAATGCCCAATGGCCTATGGGTGAGTTTATCTGCCTTGCCTTTTTCTTTTCTTTTTGTCGTTTAGCCCCTTTATTTGCTTTTTCGGTGGAAAAAGTTTAATGAGACAGAACAATAGCTAACAATTGGGGATAGGACTAAGCCATAATCGGTAAGCCGACCTGCCCTTGCTGCAATGCATGTTGTACTTTATACTAATTGGAGTGAAGGCTGGGATTGAACGAGTCTGGATGGGCTCGGCAAGAGAACGAGGTGGTGATGCCGGGCGCGACCGAGATGGCTGGAGTGGATATGCGCCTAGAAGCAGGTGCTTATCGGGAGCTGCATTGGCATGTGGCATCGGAATGGTCGTTGGTGTTGAACGGATCGTGTCGGATCGAGGTATGCAGAGAGAGAATCGTGACAAACCAGTTTGTTTGCCAAAGCTAATTCTTATCATTCAGGCCGTCAACGAGAACGGACAAACTTTCGTCGATGACGTGAGCGCTGGTGATGTCTGGTTCTTCCCTCCGTAAGTTTTTCGCCTCAATTCCAAATCATTGTCCCCTTTCATAGGGATGCATTAATGGGGATGGTCGGTTGACTCACTCCTTACAGCGGTGTTCCGCATTCCATCCAAGCCCTCGACTCGGGCGTCGAGTTTCTCCTCATCTTCGATGACGGTTCCTTTTCTGAGGATAATACTTTCCTCGCCACTGAAGTGTTTGCCCATCAACCGGTACCCCTCACTTGATTTATCCAGTTTTATGTATGAGGTTGACCTAACGATGACTATAGCGTGAGGTCCTCGCCAAAAACTTCGACCTCCCTGTTGCCGCTTTCGACGACATTCCTGAAGATGAACTTTATATCTTCCCCGGCACTCCGGCACCGCAGAACATCGAGGAACAAAATGTAACTGGCTCTGCAGGCGTCTTGCCCAAGTCCCAAAGCTACTCGTACCACTTCTCCGAGCAGCCCGCGCACGAAGTGCAAGGCGGATCCGTCAAGATCGTCGACTCCCTCACCTTCCCCATCTCCACCAACACGGCTGCCGCGCTGGTGACAGTGCACCCAGGTGGCATGCGGGAAATCCATTGGCACCCAAGCAGCGATGAATGGACGTTCTTCATCAGTGGCAAGGCACGCGCGACCCTATTCACGGCGCCCAGCACCGCCACGACGTTCGATTACCGTCCGGGTGATGTAGGATACTTCCCGCAGAGCAACAGCCATTACATTGAGAACACGGGAGATGAGGATCTGGTTTTCTTGGAGGTGTTGCAGACGGATCAATTCAGCGGTAAGTCATCATACTATTTTCCTCCATCGTGAAGAGTTGAGAATGTCAGTACTGATGGAACATGCAGACATCTCATTGGGCCAGTGGATCGGCTCCACGCCGAAGCAGATCGTCTCGGATACGCTGAACCTGCCGCAGAGTGCGCTGGATCGGTTGAAGACGGAGAAGATGTATGTGGTGGCTGGATCAAATGAGACGGATGTTGCTGCTACTGCGTAGTGGCTGCTCTTCAGGGATGTTTGATGATCTTTATGATACTGATGACTGGACATATTGTAATGGGACATATCTGTGGTTTTTGTTATGAAGTTTGTTTAGTTTCGCGATAGATTTAGTTTGTTAACTCAGGTTTATTTTTGGGTATGATCAGATAACCTACCAGTGGAATGTTCACAATACTGTAACTGACTAGCTAGTCTACTTTGTAGATACTTGGCACCAATCCGGGTCGTTGCTTTGACCTCCATTCTCCACACCCATACAATCCTCATTTCTTTCCCCGCATTACCATCTTATAGGTACTAATTGATATATAGTATAGCTGTAGTACAGACATTCCTTTCGATTAATATCCACTAGATAACCATAATTTGAACAAACAATCATATCATAACCACCAAAAGATACTATACACCAACACTAACCTCCCTGATAACCTCCTCATGCCTCTGACTCCTCGCTTGCACCCTTACCCCATCCAAAACAGGATGACTGACCGCCCCAGGCGTAAACCTCACCTCTCCCCCCTCACCCTCCAGCGAAATCCTCAAAGCACTTAATACCATCCCAACCGTCACAAAAGCACTCGCATCCGCCAACCACCGTCCGGGACACACTCTCCTCCCGAACCCAAACACCCATCCCGACGGATCCGGCTGGGGGTTCTCACCTAGGAACCTCTCCGGATCGAATATCTCCGGATGAGGGTAGATGTTTGGATCGTGGGTTATTGCCCTTCACAGCACCGGTTAATATACATTACACTGGAACAATAAGAACGGAAAGGAAGAAGAAGAGGGGATGTACCATATATTACCCATCACCACCGCCCCTTTGGGAATGGAATACCCATCATACACATCCCCCTCCTCGCACAGATGCGGTAATCCCATCGGAGCAACGGGATGCCACCGCATGGATTCTTTCACGATGGCGTTGATGTAGGGTAGCTTATCTCTGTCGGAGAATTTGGGGAGGGTGTAAGGACCTAAAATGGTGTCGAGTTCGGCTTGCGCTTTGGCTTGTATGTGGGGGTTTAGGGCCATGCTGAGGATGAAGGTGGTGAGGGTTGATACTGTCTATACCTTATTTAATTATCTATGGCAGATAAAGAGGGTGGGAATGGGATGGGATCAGGGATCATACTGTATCAGCTCCAGCGAGGTACATTGACCCCGCTGTCCACTTGGCTGTGAATTTTTCCTCTGCTGAGACTGACTTTTCCTTCTTAGTATCCTCCTCCCGGAGGAGGTTGCGCAGGTAAGATGGAGGCGCTGTTCCGGATACCATCTGCTCCTGTACCATCCGGTACGGCGTCTCGATGGTAGTGAGGAGCTGGGTATGCCAGGACTGGGCCTTCTTTTGGAAGGAGAAGGGGAGCCAGGGGGCCAGGTATTTCACTTTTCATCTTAATTAGTATCGCAGCCCGAAGGGAATGAAGGAACATAATTTCATACAACCAGGAACCAAGTCCACCAACCACGTCTGATTCAGCACTGCGGAGAATGTCTCCATCGAGTCGTCTGCCAAATCGACTAAATGATCACTCCCGTGCGGGTTGATGTCGTATCCGTACCCAATTTTGAGGATGATGGCGCCAGCTTCCCTACATATATCTTATTCAGTAGTCCCTCTTTGATGTTAACGTGTAAGAAAAGGAAATGGGTGACATACGTCTTCAAATGCTGCACCCACTCCCCGGGATCATCTAACATACGACGTAACAGCCGTCTCGCTTCGAGCTCCTGTAGCGAATTGAACTTCGATACTAGGCTTTTGGTTCCTAGGAACTGGTGCAGGGCTTTACGGTATAAGCGGCAGCGTGTATTGTATGGTTGCATGGCGAGGGTGTCGTTCCATCCTATCCTGTTTGTTTTATGTTAGGGGTTGTTAGGGTATGGAAGGGCAGCTTGGGGGCGGGGGGTTTGGGGCTTACATTTCACCGACGAAGACTGATCGTGGTCGGGAGGAGTACTTGAGGGAGCGCTTTTCGAGAAGTTCAGTGGCTATGTGCGCATCGTGAAGGATGATGATGGGTTGGCCGAGGATGGTCACGGAGGTTATTGGGCCTGTTGGGGGATATTGGTTAGGGATTGATGGTGGTGGTGGTGGTGGCTGTGACGGGGAGGTGGTTACCGTAACGCTCTTTGTGTTTCATCCAGTGCTGCCATTCTGGGGAATTTTGCGGTGGAAGGTCAGATAGATTCCCGACGATAGGCTTGCCTTTGGGTCCAGGGGGAAGGGGGAGGGAGGGAGATTGTTGATAGATGAAGAGGTAGAGGGATAGGAGGATAAGGCAGGCAAACGCGACCGCAATTACAATACTCATGGTGGGGTGGAATATTGATAAGATGAGAAAGTGCGGGCTTAGGAAATTGACATCTGGTTTAGATTATTATGACATGGTGGGATTATGCAGCTAGTTGTTAAGCTGGTCGTTGCGTCGGGCCAGCCGAGGTTTTTGATGGTAAGGTGGCGTCATCATGAATAATGGACGCAGCTAATGATAAGCATTAAGGATAATTGGTGTAGAGGATTATGGTGACAGCAGGACGGGACGCAAGCATCTTAGGTCTGCCAATTGGTGGGTGCTGTACGTAGTATGCTATCGTTGGAATTGAACTCCGCATTCCACGATTGAATCCCTAGTTTGATAATTGGCCCTGTTATTAAATTGTCCTACGCTGATTTTTTGGTGGTGCCCTGTTGTGCGGCAAGGGACCCAAATTTATTGCGTAGCTTGTGTCACGAGCATTGTGCATGGTGGTCACCGGTGATACTGGAATTGAAGGCTTTTAAAGAAGATATTAGCGAGTCGCTACATTAGATGACTATTGAATGTGGCACAGAACGGGGTATGTGGAGAATGGGTGCACTGATTCACTCCCATACCATATGAATGCTTGCAACCTCTTCCTCATCACATATCTCCACATCTCTCCTCCTGTCTCGTCTTCCTTTTCGCAATAATAGTGCTTAGCATTTAGATCTAGCAACAATTGATATGCCAACATGGATATGACTTGTAAGGGAAGACCGTGTTCGGCAAGATGAACAAGCCTGTATAGGTCTATACGCACAGCAGTGAAAGGATCCAAATACAATGCTCGGGGTGGCCACTAACGAAATTATGTACAGATACACCCAGGAGGATGACCTAGCTCTATGCCTCAACTCGTAAACCACATAATCTTTCATGATATGTAAAAATGCATAAGAAGAGCTCTGCTATTTGAACCATCGCTTCTAATGTCGAAATCCCAAACCAAGTTATATCCCTTTAAGGGACGGCTCTGATCGACTGAAACCTACGAGATTCTATGCCGATTGAGAGTGACCCATACGCTGAAAATGAATGGCTAGTTGGGCATTGATCCACACCCGTTCAAAATTCGCAAAGAACGTAGATGGAAATACCGCACAAATTTCTCATCTACCCCTACTCAATGGAAAGGCCCGAAAGCGCGCACGACAGACTCTAGACACACTGCTTGAGATGGATGTTCTAGACACCCAGCGTAATCGACAAATGGGGTAGCAGAATTCTTGGGCACAAAGGTACAGGAATACCTCAAACATCTCGTGCCTCGGAAGTACCCCGGATGAAACGGACTAAATGTCCCGAAGTTAGGTGATTCATATGGGATTCTCTAGAGTTAGCCTCATTTACCAGACAAGAGGCATATGATTGGAGAAGCCGCAATGTGTCTGGTGCCAACAATCAATGTATTGAAGGTGTCAATGCTGCTTGGACAAGTTATTGATCCTTGACCATTTGGCAGTTTCCTTCTCACGTTCAAGGTCGGCACCAAATCTTCTTGACATCCGCGAAGTACCAGAAGGGATTACATGACTACCTCAGAAGGGCAAAGTCACAGGCGAATTCCTTGTCATTCAGTCCTTGGGATGCCGAAGAACCTTCTTTATCATCTTGTGAGGATCGTCAGTGCTGCAGTTTGATTCAAGACACAGATTGTTCTGAAACAGACCAAGGCATGATATGTTAATATGTAACCGATGACCTCGCTCAATATTTGGCCATGAGAAGAAAGTTAGCTGTCGTGTTTTGGCAAAATGACTGAGTCTTTCTAGCCCATCGGGCTGGTGCAATGAGTGGAATTGGTTCATCGACCTGACCGGGAGATGATTCAAAACAATTTCGTGTGTCGCACCCTATGAAACCGAGTACTACTACAAGATTCCGACTCTGGAAAAGTGGAAGTTGAAAAATCACGTTGATAACTACTCCATATATCGTGTAAGATCGGTGGGGGCTTCTTCACCGCCTGATGTGACGTGGCCAATAAGATAAACTTCTACCAATCAATCCAAAACAGATCCTGGTATGCAACATGATCCAGGGACACCCTCCGTCCCTGGGCAGTGGGCGACTCGTGGTAATTACAACTTCGAAGAGCCGACACCATTTCACCAATACTGCCATGCAGTGCGCCGACTCGACAAGGCTTACTGGGAAAGTCAGCGCTAAAGGCCCTAGGAAGGTTGAGTCCTGAGGGTCCAACCAATAATGAACCGACATCGATCACAGCGTTTCAGTCCCTTCCAAAGGTATATCACAAAGTAGATGTCCACCAGACTCTCAATCATGATACGCAGTACCGTCAAAGCTTTGCAGTGGACTCGATCATCTTGGAATCTGACGAAGATTCTCTGTTAACATATCTGGCTGAGATGGAAATGGTATTGCTTGGTTTGTTTTGGTGGTAAAATGGCCGTAAATTCCATATTGATCGTAGATGGTGAACCAAGTATCTTGTTGCCAGTTGGAAACAGAGGATGTCACTTTGAGTTTCTTCGGAGGCAGCCTCGATAGATCGCAATTCACGCTTCAGCTGAGTCCGGACCACCGGGTGTCATTCACCATGGATGCAAAAGCGGTGCAGGTGCCAATCTGGGATGATTCGGGGTCTTTGCTGAGCGTAGCAGCTATTTTGGAGTGGCTGTAGTGGTTTGTCAAGGTGTCGCTAGCTAGTTACTAAGTACTACGGAATATCTTAAGGAGTTAGCCTTAGACGATGTGTCGTTAGAACTAGCTTATTCGATCAGATACACCCCGTTAATACTCCATATCATTACATTGGATGATCATCTGAGACCATCTACTCAGTGCTTGCAACTCCTTGTCTTATACTATTGCTAAATAGAGTCTAATATCCTGGACGGAATCGGAAATAACGTTCGGCTGTCATCGTCAACCCTAAGCGACCCGGGCGATTGCCGCCAAGCACGGACCAGACTGTGCTCGGGCCAACCAACGGATTCGATTCCCTGCTCGCACAGTTGCTATTTTCCTTTATTGACGGCCAGGGGAATGCTGGACCGTGCCGCGCCACTGAAGGATGACTGGCGGTCTAGACGGTCGGTGGCTGGTTGGCATTGAGTCAAAGAAGTGGTGAGTTCTCGTATTCAACCCCGGATTCATGCCAGCCACGTGGACCCGCAAAGCCCCGATCCAGAAAAACTGGGGCCTCCACCGCAACCCCCCCCTCCATCTGCCTTCTTTGTCTCTCTTCCTTTTTCACCCCTTCATTCCTAATCTTCCGCTGTGCTGCCACTTGACCCCTTACTGCGCTCTGCGTATACACTCTGTAGACCTCCCTGTAGCCTACGGGCTGACATCATGTCCTCCAACTCTACCACCAAAGTCAAGGCTCAAGGAGGCATCCTCGAAGGCAGCAATCCGGCCCATTATGACTCGTCTAATCCCATCGTCATCTTCATCATTCAGGTAGTTCTTCATCATCAAATCTCTCGAATGATTCACTGCTAACCCCACCAGGCCGGTATAATCATCATCTTCTGCCGCCTGCTGCACTGGCCGCTCTCCAAGATCCGCCAGCCGCGCGTGATCGCAGAGGTCATTGCTGGCGTCATACTGGGCCCGTCGGTAATGGGCCGTATCCCCGGCTTCACCGAAGCCATATTTCCGACCGCCTCAATTCCAAACCTGAATCTGGTCGCGAATCTGGGGCTGGTGCTGTTTCTATTCCTTGTTGGGCTGGAAACCAACCTTCGCTTCCTGGTCAGCAATTGGCGTGTGGCAGTTAGCGTGTCCGCTGCTGGTATGATTCTGCCATTTGGGCTCGGTTGTGCGATTGCCTACGGACTGTACAACACATTCCAGGATGAGCCCGGCACGGTGGATATCAACTTTGGAACCTTTTTGCTCTTCATCGGTATTGCTATGGCTATCACTGTAAGCTGCTACGTAATGGGAAGATAGGCTTATCTTACTAACCATGGGGTAGGCATTCCCCGTCCTATGTCGTATCTTGACAGAGCTCAAACTTCTGGGAACCAATGTCGGAGTCATCGTGCTCTCAGCCGGCGTTGGAAACGACGTCGTCGGCTGGATCCTGCTCGCTCTGTGTGTTGCCCTCGTCAACGCAGGCACTGGGTTAACCGCACTCTGGGTCTTGCTCGTCTGCGTGGGTTATATCCTCTTCCTCACCTTCATCTTTCGACCACTGTTTCTGCGCTTCCTCCGCCAGACGGGCAGTCTACAGAAAGGACCCAGTCAGTCTGTGGTCGCAATCACGCTGCTCATCGCACTGGCCTCCGCCTTCTTCACCCAGATCATCGGCATCCACGCCATTTTCGGCGGCTTCATCATCGGCCTGCTGTGTCCCCACGAAGGCGGTTTCGCCATTAAGCTAACCGAGAAGATTGAGGATCTCGTCGCTGCGCTCTTCCTCCCACTCTACTTCACTCTCTCCGGGCTCCAAACCGACCTGGGCCTGCTCGACACCGGCACCGTCTGGGGCTACGTGGTCGGCATCATCGCCATCGCCTTTACGGCCAAAGTAGCCGGCGGTGCGATCGCCTCGCGACTCTGCGGCCTCCTCTGGCGCGAGAGCTTCTCCATTGGTGTGCTCATGAGCTGCAAGGGTCTCGTGGAGCTGATTGTCTTGGTATGCTCCTTCCTGCTCTCTGTACCAACTTCCACTAACCCTACCAGAACATTGGCCTTCAAGCCCGTATCCTCAGCACCCGTACTTTCACCATGTTCGTCGTCATGGCCCTAGTAACCACCTTCGCCACCACCCCTCTCACCGTCGCCCTTTACCCAAAATGGTACCAAGTCAAAGTCGAGCGCTGGCGCCGCGGCGAAATTGACTGGAAGACCGGCAACCCCGTTCCCTCCGACGCCCGCACCGACAGCATCGCCCTCGCCAAAGAACAGCAGCGCGCTCTCCCCGTCCGCAAACTCCTCGTCTACCTCCGCCTCGATGGTCTCTCCAGCATCTGTACCCTCGCCGCGCTCCTCTCCCCGAATAGACCAGCTCTCCCAAAGCAACACCCTGACAC